AGTTCTAACACCTACATAACTGAGATTCAAACATGGATTATCTGTATCTTCCAAGAAATCCTAAGAACTAAGACTAAAGTAGTCACTGGCTAGTGGCATACATGATGCCTAACCAAAACAACACTCAGGAAAGAAAAGTAGTAGGCCAGGAGTTTAGCTCAGTGGCACCATGCCTGCCTGCAGGGCAAGGTCCTGAATTTGATCCCCATACCAAAAAAACAAACAAAAAAAATCCAAACAATAAAGTCTACTATAATCCAGAACCATGAAATGAGGAAATAAGCTGTGAGATTTGGCAAAAGTGAAAAAAGCAGAAATGGGCTCTAAAGAATTTCAGGTAGTAGTTTATTAAATTAAAATGCTAATTATTATTAGACATGGACTACAGAATGATGACTTACATATGACTGAGTTCCAGAAGAATGAAGTAGAGAAAATGGAACAGAGAAAAATATCACAAAAGATAATGGCATTTTTCACAGAAATAGAAAAAAAGTATCCTAAAATTCATGTGAAACTACAAAGGACTCCAAATAGCCAAAATAATCTTGAGCAAGAACAAAGCTGGAGGCATCACACTACCTGATTTTAAAATATATTTCAAAGCTACAGTAAACAAAACAGTACTAGCATAAAGACAGACACCCAGACCAATGGAGTAGAGAAGAGAGCCCAGAAATAAAGACACCCATTAGAGCCAACTTCTTTGACAGGGGTGCCAGGAATACACATTAGGGAAAGAATAAACTCTTCAAAAAATATTGCTGGGAAAATCAAATATCCACATGCAAAAGATACTGTACAATACCACTTATATGAGGCACAGAAATGAGTCAGACACATGAGCAAGCAAAGAGAGCAGAGTGGCATTTACCAGAGCTTAGGGAAAAGATTAATGAAGAGTTGTATTCAACTGCTATACAGTATCACTTACGTTAGATAATTATGTTCTGGAGATCTGTTGTTCAACATTGTACATATAGTTAATGATGTATTGTATACTTTAAAAAAAAAATTTCTGTTACACAGAGAAATCTGAGCTGGGTATGATGGTACAAACCTCTGGTCTCAGCTATTTGGGAGGCTGAGACAAGATCCTTTCAGCTCACAAGTTGGAGACCAGCCTGGACAACTTAGTAAGACTCCATCTCAAAAACAAACAAAAATAAAAGAATAGACCTCACGTAAGTGCTTTCAGCAAAAGAGAAATAAAAATTCTACGAGAGCCAAGTTTCTGGAATCACAAGTATTCAGCACTATCCTTTCTGATCAAAGAAATCTGACATTGCAGATATGCCTCATGGTAACTCTGAGCTCCAAATCTCAAATGGTGAATAACTTTTTTTTCTTTTTTTATAATCAAAGGTAGTGCTTGAGGGACGGGGATTTAGCTCAGGGGTTCTGCCAACTGCCTTGCAAGTGCAAGGTCCTGAGTTCAACAGCCGGTATTAAAAAAAAAAAGTGTTTGTGCATGCTAGGAAAATGCACTATCACTAAGCTATCCTCCCGGCCAGACTTTACTATTTGAAAAAGAATGGTATGGAAACCTATTTTTAGGAAATAAAGAAAAAAAAAACTAACTGAAGAAAGAATACAGGGATGTATCAACAAATAAACCATCACAGAAAGAAATTTTACCTATTGCTCTCTGTAATTAAAAGTAGTAGTAGACCAAAAGGTGAGTAAGGAGACAATGAATTCATACTGATGTAAGTAAATAAATAAATTGAAAGCATTGTAGGGAACGAGATGTTTGCATAGTTTCAAAGTAATTATCCTTAAAATATTTATTTACTGCAATGAGAGAAAAGCAAATTTACTTGGAGAAACCTGGAAGATACCAAGTAGACTAACAAAAATGGAACACATCAAAGGTGTGCATTGTATAAGAGATTTCAATGAGAAGAGAACAGCATCTCTTCTATCATACTACTACCAAACATGCAAAATCTGACTCTAATTATGGAGAATTAGCAATCTAACTCAAAGCTGAGGAATACCCTACAAGATAAAGGGCCTAAAATTTTCAAAAATTCAAAGATCAGGGCAAGTAGAACAAGTAGCTCAGTGGTAGAGCCCTCACTTAGCATGCACAAGGCCCTGAATTAAATTCCTTGTATCAGAAAAAGACAAGTCAAAGATCAGTAAAGTCAAGAAAAGACTGAGGAATTATACCACACTGTAGAAGACTGAAACGACACAACAGTGACTAAACACAATGACAAAAACGTAATTCTGGATCTCCTTGCTTCAGAAGGTCTTACTGGAACAACTGCTAAAACTTGAATGGGGTCTAAGGATTCAGGTCTGATGGGGTAGCAACAGCAAACATATATTCCTAACTGTATTGTGGTTACATAAGAGAATCTTCCTTGTTTGTTTAAAATATGCATTATAGGATTCAGGGTAATGGTGCTGCATATTTTCAACTCATGTGCAAATGGTTCACGAAATAAGTACTTTCTTGAAACTTTTCTGAGTGTAAGTCTATTAAAAATATATAATTTTATTAGTACATATTTGTAATACATAATGATTACATTCATTGTGGGGACTTGATACATGTACATAATACATTTTAATTCTTTTTACTTACTCCATCTCTTCCCCTCCCTCCCCTCTGCACAAGATGTACTAAACACAGACCCAACTACTTCAATCTTTTTTTTTTTTGTTTTTGGTACCAGGGATCAAACTCAGGACCTTGTACTTGCAAGGTAGGCGTGGCACTACTGAGCCAAATCCCTGGCCCCTTAACTGCTTCAATCTTAAACAGATACCTCTATGGTAAAGAAAAATATGGAACATTCATTTTATTTTATGAATTTTAAAATGAAATCAAAGATTGTTTAAGTATTAAAAGTTAAATTTCACTTATAAACATAGAAATGAAATTTCTAAATAATATATTCATGATGTGACTATGACAATGCAGAAGAGAAAGAATCATTTCAGGAATCAAAGGACTCTTTAACATTAGGAAATACATTAGTAGCATAACTCATAATATTAATATATCAAGAGAAAAACAACCTTGACTAATGAAAAAGTTGCAAACCATTTAATAAAATGTAACAACTATTCATGATAAAAATTCTTAGAAAACTATGAGGAAATTTTCTTAAATTGATTAAAAAGTATTTATCCAAACTCTCTCAAAAATCATACTTATTGCAAAACTGTTAAAAGATCAAGAACATGACAATGATGAAGACCCATCAATATGGTAAAGGCAAATAAAAGGAAAATAAGAATGGAATAAATAAGCTACCATTAATTCACAAATAAACATTATCTATATGAAAAAACTAAAAGAATCTGAATCAAGTTATTAGAATTGAGCAGAAAGGTTGCTAGATATAATATTAATACACACAATTGACTACTCTATTCAAATAGCAAAAGGAATTTTTAAATTGTTACTTTAAAAATTTACAGTAACCATTGTACGAAGTTTTAAAAATATGAAACTAAAAGATACAGAAAAAATACTGTGATGCTTGTGCAGAAGTAGCCAAAAGACTAGTGAATAGAAGGAAAAAGAAAACTAAAAATAAACTAGCACTTATGTGAACATTTGATATTCAACAAGAGAACTGCTGATTTGTCAAAAAAATGACTGCAGATGTATATAATAGTGTTTACACTACCTACCCATATGCAAAGGAAAGTAAAATCAGAACTATACATTATACTTCACAAAAAATTAAAGGTAGTTTAGTAATCCAAATGTTAAAAGCAAACTTTGAACTTTAAAAAAAACTACAAGCTGAGTGTGGTGTACACATCTGTAAACCCACCAACTCTGGGAGGCTGAGGATCACAAATTCAAAACCAGCATAAGCAACTTAATGAGACCCTGTCTCAAAATTAATAAAAGGGACTAGGGATATAGTTCTATATGATAGGTTCACTTCCCAGTGCCACCAAAAAGGGAAAGAGGGAAAGAGGGAAGGAGAAAGGGAAGAAAAAAAGAAAAGAGGGAGGTGGGGTGGGGGTAAAAAAACAAAAATGCATCTTTTTTTACCTCACATGGGGAAGATTAAAAAAAAACACACATAGTGAAAGGAAAGACAATAAATTCAACTACATTAAAATGTAAAACTTTTGTGTTTCCAGTCATCGTGAAAAGATCGCACCACCTGAGTAAAATACGGGCAAAGCATATAACCAGCAAAGCTTTTACATTCAGAATATATGAAAAATTTCTATGAGGAATAAATAAAGAACCCATTACAAAAGCCAAAGACATGAACAAACACTTCTTAAGAAAGGAAATCCAAGCATCTAGTTAATACCACAAAAATATTCATCTCGATTGTAATCAAGAAAATGAAGTAACAAATTCCATCACTTTCATACCTATCTGCTCTTAGCATATGGTGCATTAAAAAGAGGGAAGAGTCACTGTAGAACTTGTCCTTTTACTTCCTTCAGGATACTTATGATCTTGTGTAGGCTTTATGAAAAGTTACTTGCAAAATTAGCACTGTTTTTGAACACTATGGGAAATAAAGAGAATATATAGAAAAACATACCTATTTTTCACACCTATTTTCATAAATAGAGATTACGTCACATAAATAGAATGCTTATTTTACAGCAGCAGCTATATTAAAATGTGGAAATGGATCAGATGGTAAGAAATTAATTCTATATGCCAACATTCTAACTGCACAATCAGATACAGCCATTTTTATTCTAAATTTCCAAATTATACTACTTATGTTAATATTTTTAGTGGTGCCAGATGATATAATCATCACAGTCTTTCTCCAAAGTTTCAAAATTCTAAAATTATCTCAGTTGTTTTCTTTTCCCCCTTGTATTCTATTTCCTACACAGCTCCCTGTACAACTATATTTTTGAAAATTTGCACACAAGTGATGAGCTAAAGTACTATCTAATTTTTTACTTATTTTATTTACTTTTCAATTACTAAACTGATAAAAGGATTGAAGAGATGTCTTTAGCTTGAAAGTTAAGAAAAATGACAGTACCTCACAATGCTGACGAGAAGCTTGAATTTCACATTCATATTTGTTCTTTACAGATTCTAAGCAGAGCTCTCTATAGATTCCTGCAACCAAACACAATTACTCTGATTATTTTAGTAGTAAAGTGTTGCATTATCACTACCCTACAGGAATTCTGTCTTCACCATATTTTACAGGATGAATCATTAAGAAATTGTAAGTCATTATAACTTTATCTTTAAAAAGTAAAAAGAAATGAGCTTATTTAAATACATATCAAAGAAGACTACAAAGAATTTAAGAGCTAAAAAGAAACTACACTGCTAATTTTGTTCTTTCTTCATTCTCCTAAATACTCCTGTTTAATTGAGAATGATCAAAGTGAAAAATAAGATCCTTTTCTGATGGAAAATTATCCCTTCAGGCCCCTCATAATAGAAAGAAAGACAATAAACTCTGACTTACATCAATCATATAAACTCAAAGTAATAAATGTGTACTGTACTACCTCAAAACCATTTTTTCCTGCATCTCCAGGTACTGAGATAGAACCCTGGAGTAAAGGGTCTCACTAAGTTACACAGGCTTGGCTCTAACTTGTAACCAACCCTGTTGCCACTGCCGCTCATAGTGCTGGGATTACAGGTATGTGCCACCACACCCAGCTAAAACCACTATTTTAAAAGCTTATTGCTTATTTTCAGAGTCCAAAGGAGAAATGTATAAAATGACATTAAGAATGTATACAATGATCTAACAAAATCTATGATGCTCCAAGTAATCCTGACAGGGCTTTATGAAGAGAAGAGATGCCAGAGAAAATGTATCTTGAGGTAATAGTATAAAACGGACAACACAGCCATGCAAATACACCACCCCTAAAATAGAAAAAAACGGTGTATACTAAACTCCATGCTATAGTTGACTCTAGAAATGCAATTTTCTCTATTTGTATAGTAAATGCAGGGGACAGACAGCTGAAAGAATGCCATTAACAACACATTCACACATACTACTCTTTGCAATCAAAAACAAGGGCGGTCATTGAGTAGAAAAGTGAATAATTCACTCAACCACCATATTTCCTGATCCTTCATTTCATCTAAAAGAACATCAAAGAAAAGGATGGACATTTTTACTTTTAAGGGTAAGCTAAGTCAATATGCAAAGACAGGTTAATTATCATATCATCTATATACCGAGCATTAAGCACTCAAGAATAAAATTTACTTTTAGGTTAGTTTTAATACAAAAAAACTTATTATCAACAATGACTAGGCATTATTTAACAGGTACTTAAGGATCCATTAGTATCCAAAACAAAAAAATAAAAACAGCAACTCTGTTTATTAAAGTTCACATTTTAGTTCCAATATTAAAAACCACAAACCAAAAGTGATTTTTTTTTTGCTTGAGACACTGTCTCACTATGTTGCCCCCTATGCTGGCCTCAAACTCTTAGGATCAAGCGATTCTTCTGCCTCGGCTTCCCAAATAGTTGGGACTGCAGGTGTGTGCCACCATCCCCTGCACATAAGTGATCTTTCAATAGATATATCCTGGGATTATGAGTGCTACTGCACAGCAGTGAAGCTGGGACCCAGTTATAAACAGAAGACGGCAGCTTACTCACACAAATATAGTACATCTCATCTAGTCATAGCCACAAGTAACCAAACTTAACAAAATAAAAAGGAAGTATTACATTATCTAGTTGAAGGCTAATTCCTCATTCTATAATGTCAGAGTCATTTTTAAAAGTAATTTTTATAGATTTAAAAAAATAGTCCCACTACTTGGGAAGATAAAGTAGGAGAATCACTTGAGCCTAGGACTTCAGTGCCAACCTGGGCAACATGGTGAAACTCATCATTTAAAAAAATAAAAACAGGGCTGGGGATTTAGCCCAATAGTTCTGCCACTTGCCTTGCAAGTGCAAGGTCCCAAGTTTGATCCTGGGTACCAAAACAATAATAATAATAAAATAAAAATCCTATGACTCTTACACACACGTGAAAACAATCCAGAGAAACTAATAATTTACTTTACAGGGTATTACTGGGATGTCAACAGTAACTCTTAATGAAAGTATTATGGTTTCTAATTGCTTCACCAAATGAAAAAGTATCTTTTCAAAAATATTGAGCAACTTGAAAGTTTTTCACTGTTGTTTTTAAATCCCCCCACAGCAGTAGAAAAAAAAAGAGGCTTTAATAAATGAGTTAACAATGTAAACAATGTAAATATATAAATATATCTGTAATCTCATCAACATTGAAAATATATTTTTAATTCCCTTAAAAATAAACATTTGACATACACCTTTTAAAGCTAAAGAGTATAGAGTCTACTATATGGAAAAAAATATTTCATTTTCCTACCTGCTACCTTGGTACGAATTTGCATATTTTCTTGTAAGGTTGCCAGTGGTTCTAAATATTCTGGAGCTTTTCCAGCTATGACTTCTTGTAGTTTTGCATCCACCTGACTTAATCGTTCTTTATAAAGTCTTAAAAAAGCAAAAATTAAGATGTTAATTTAAAAACCTCAACAAGGGCAAACAATTTGCCATTTCTATGTATTATTTAAAACTAGTCACATTCTAATAATCTACCAAATGTCTTTTGGCCTTGATCTCAAGTGAAAAATCTCAATTATATTATTTAACTTTGTGCTCACAGTCATAAAATAGGTATGTCTATGACTTTTAAAATCAGTATCAGTCTTTAATGGTTAATTCACAATACAAATAATACAATTTAAAACTGGGCAGAGTATGTGTCTGTAGTTGCAGGTACTCGGGAGGCTGAGGCAGGAGGATTGCTTGAGCCCAAGAGACAGAGTCCAGCTAAGGCAACATAATGAGACCTCACTTCAAAAAAAGCCAAAAGCAGGGCAGGGGATTTAGCTCAGTGGTTCCACCGCCTGGCTGGCAAGCACAAGGTCCTGAGTTTGATACCCGGTACGCCCCACCCCCACCACAAAAAATTGTCATTTCTTCAGCCTGGCTGGCAAAAAAGCCAAAAGCAAGCTAGGCATGGTAGTACAGACCTATAATCCCAACACTAGATACTGAGGCAGGAGAATCACAGTAAGTTTGAGGCCAGCCTGACCTACATACTGAGTTCAAGGCCAGGATGAACTACAGGGCTGGGGATTTAGCTCAGCAGTTCGGTGGCCTGCCTTGCAAGCGCAAGGACCCAAGTTCGATCCCCGGTACCAAAAAAACAAACAAACAAACAAACAAAACAAAACAGAATGAACTACATAGTGATACTCTCTAAAAAAAAAATTAAATTTAAACATTAAAATTAAAAAAAAAAAAAAACCAAAGCAAAAAAAAAAAGACAGGACTCAGAAAGCTGAGGCAATAGGATTACAAGTAGGCCAGCCTGGGCTACATAGAGAATTTAAGGCCAAGCAAGGCTACAAAGTGAGACCTTGCCTCTAAAAGCAAAACTAAAAAAAGTTAAAATAAAAAACCACTCACCCAGGGCCAGGGATTTAGCTCAGTGGTTCTGCCGCCTGCCTCGCAAGCGTAACATCCTAAGTTCAATCTCAGTACAAAAAGAAAAAAAAAAAAAAAAAAAAAAAAGAAAAACCACTCACCCTTTTTTATTTTGAAACAGGGTCTCACTTTCCATCCTCCTGCCTCAGCCTCCCAGAGTGCTGGAATTACAGGCATGCATCACCATACCCAGCTGCAACTCTCAATTATATATTGTTTTTGTTTCAACTGAAGAACAATAAATTAATTCTAAGAGAAAAGATAATTTAAACACTGACTTTAAAAGAAGCAAGGTGATCATTTTGAATAGTTGAAACATTACTAGTTGTCAAAATAAATAATTCCCTGGAGTCAGTACAATATCCAGCCTACTTAATTTTAAAAAGAACAAAGAGGAAGTAGCATGACAAATATAAATCAATGGCTCTCAAACCTGTTCATCTTGACTATGAATGAAGCAGCTGCCATAAAATGAGTTACTCAATGAATGAAAAAAGAAAAATGAGGCAAGAGGTCCCTATGGCCCCCCATTTATGAGTCCACTGACAGATACTTTAATTTGTCAGCTATAAAATACAATAAGTTAGTTTGATTATCGAAGACTGAGTATGTAAGACAACTCAGTGTTATTTCTGACAATAATCCTAAAGGATAGAACTAATTCTTTTTAACAGAAATATGTTTACATTATCATTCTTTATGAAAGATTCTTCTAATCCTGGTTTTGTGGCATTTAAAGGATGTCCTTAAAAAATTCAAAGCAAATTACCAAAGATCGCAATGATTTTTTTCCCTTTATTATTTTTATCACAGGCAAGCGTGTCACACTACGTCAGAAGCATGGCACGGCATCACCTCCCAAAGAAGCTACTGGGGGCTGAGATTTAGCTCAGTGACACTGAGCCTGCCTCTCCAGGTCTTGCGTTTAATCCCCCGCACCACAAAAAAAAGAAAGAAACTACTGGGGAGGGACGCCTGAGCATGCTTGTGTTAATATAACTAGCAGCTGGCTTTTAAAAATCTTATCAGGGCTGGAGGATTTAGCTCAGTGGCACAGCACCTACCTTGCAAGTGCAAGGTCCGGAGTTCATTCCTGGTACTGAAAAAAAAATGTTATGGAACCTAACCTTCATTCTCTCTTAAAAACATAAACCAATATAACTAAGAAAGTCAAGATCAATTGTCTATAATTGATCATTATAATTAGCATAAGAAATGTATACAATGGGGCAAGTTTGAGTGTTAAAGCAATAAACACTCATTTATTTTGATTTGTTTTTGTAGTCCTTTATCAGCAACCACAATACTATTTACAGAATTAACTGCCAAAACAATACACTATCATATTTAGGCTAAAGTTTTCTAAAATTTGGGCCTGGGATTTAGCTCAGTGGTGCCACCTCCTGCCTCACAAGGGCAAGGTTCTGAGTTCAAGCCCCAATACCAAAAAAAAAGTTTTCTAAAATTTAAGATAAAATGATAAACCAATGTATGACAGATGTTAGAAAAGTACAACATGATAATTATAATTTTAGACAAAACACTAAAATTTTGATACAATGGTAACTATACCTGAAGAACATTTGTAGACCAGCACAAATGAATGAAAAAAGACATATGAATTGATATTATTCTACAAACTTTTTTTTTTCTTTGGTACTGGGGATCAAACTCAGGATCTTGTACCTGTGAGGCAGGCACCAGCATCACTGAGCTAAATCCCTGGCAGTATTCTATTAACTTTTAAAAGAATAGATGCCTCAAAATTTCCACAGCCTTAGTATTTCAGTACAAATTCAACAAAGGCAAGAATCATTAGTCCTTCAGCAACAACCAGAGCATTATTTAGATACTCGATTAATGTCTGTTGTGTGCTGGACACTGAAGTGTGTGGAAAGCTCGACAGGACAGATGCCTCCATCTGTTAAAGGAGGCGAAGAACTCACCTTCCACCACTATACAAACTGCAAATGCTGAATTTTCTGCATTATGAAGATAGTGCTATTGTGCCCTGCATTTCTAGAACAGGAGAAGCAGGACAATTATATTATTGCTATTATTATATTTCTTGAACTTCTTCTAAAGATGAGATAGCTTACAAAGATATATAACAGGATAAAAATGGCAAACAAGGCAATTAGAGCAAGAAAAAAATTATTACAAACTTGATGTAAAAAATTAATTTTTCTGAAATATATTTCTGGAAACCAATAATCAAGAAAAGACCTTTCAAGATGCTGGTTATCAACTACTTTTAACACTTTCAGAGAAAAATGAAGCCGTTGGCCATTTTATCTCATAGGAAAGCAAAAATCAAGGCACTGCTTGCCAAGATGAACATAATTCCATCCTAATGACTGAGCAGTTGCAAAGTTTTTCTATGTAATACATTTTAGTTGAACTTACAGTAATCTTTATTCCTCAGATAATCTAAAATATACTGTAAAAGCTCAATAGGTGCAACTCAATTGCATGAGAATTATTCATTCATAGGTTGCTTGTACTAAAATATAAAAACACAAATGTGATTCTTGTTTTCCAGAACATCCTAGATGAACTCTCTGTATTGTCCAAATAATAGATTCTTTGGGGATCTAAATTAATTTTAACTTAAAATTAGTAAATCTCTAGAATAAGGAAATTATACTTACCATGGTTTTCAAAGTCAAAATTGGTATTATCTTGGATTATGTATATTAACTTGTTGAACTAGTGTGGAACAGTATCTATATATTTACCTCTAATACTACTATATGCTAAGAGGAGAAATGATATAAATAGTTGAATTAATATGAAAACAAAACTGTTCTATTTTAGTCATGTAATTCCGGATATATTAAATGGGTGTTCACCTCTTTATTTTTTGGCCTCTTTAGGGAAGTACAAGAAATATAAACAGGAAAATTATGAAGAATTCATAAACTTCTGAATGAATTAAGATGTCCATATTCTCAGAACTTTCCCTCTTGCATTTACAATTCCTAATTTGTAGCCGCACCCTATGTCCATGCCAGCAAGTTCCAAAGTAAAGCTGCCCTTTAAGAAGTTGTTTTTTAACTTGCATCCCATCTGTCTGTCTCCATTGGTCCTCTAAAATCACAGGACCCCATCCTTGCATTACCAATCTCACTTAAGGGTTCTGGCATGGGGGTGGAGGAACCAGACTCTAATAAGCACCCACCATATGTCACAGCAAAAGGCCAAGAATTTGACATATTGTTCCTCAACCCTCATGGAAGACAGTAAGAATGTTATTACACCTTAAATAAGCCAAGAAAGCCTGTATCAGAGCTTTTGTTTGTTCTACACATTTCCTCCAAAGTATTGTGCGCTAGTGGAAGGAACACAAAAACAACAGCCCTAGGAGGCAAAAGGTCTAGGTGTGTTTAACACTTTCTGATAAACTATGGAAATCAATCTCTCTGAGCATCACTTTTCTCAGAGGTAAAATGGAGATAAGACTATTTTCCAACCTTACAGAGTTGCTGCAAGCAGCAAGCAAAACAGAGCATGTGAAACATGTAATGTGCACACTACCCAGTGGAAGATATAAGCATATTCATTTTAGTAGACATAGAATTTTTATGTGTATCTACTGGACGCCAAACACTAGTGTTTTTGTTTTTTGTTTTTTTTTGTAGCAGGGACTGAACTCAGGACCTTACGCCTACAAGGCAGGCGGCAGCACCACTGAGCTAAATTCCCGGCAGACATAGAATTTTTGAAAAATACAACAACATGGAAAACATTTTAATCACCAACATCTACACAAAACTCCCCAGGCCATGGCCCAAAACAGTTGGTTCAAAACCCTCTACTTAGTTGATGAGGTCTGAGGCAGGTAATCAGCAGTTGGAGCCTCTTTTGGATCAGTCAGTTCCATGAAACACAAAATGGAAAACAGTGCATACCATGCAATTGCTCTTGTACTAATATGCAAGCAACACAACTGAGATGGGTATAACCACCTGCTGAAGTTCCTACTTACTGATCTTTGAGATCTGTAAACTGTTTTTCAAGATTGGACATTTCATCTAAACACTCCATTCTTCTTCTTTCACAGTCTTCATCATCCATTTCTGTTAATAAAAAGACAAATATCAAAGATAAATTTAACTTTATGCTTCAACTATATCTGAGTTTCATTCAAATAGGAAACAAAACTGTAATATGAGGTTGGATATGTAAGGTCTATACTAACAGCTTTAAGTGGACATAAGCAGGCACAGTAGCACCTATATAGAATCCTAACACTTGAAAGGCTGAGGCAAGAGGATCACAAGTTAGAGTCTCACCTGAGCAATTTAGCAAGATCCTGTCTCAAAATAAAAAATAAATTTTAAAAAAGGGCTGGGGATGTGCAAAGGTCCTGGGTTAATCCCTAGTACCACAAAAGGGAATGGGAGACAGTTATTCAAAATAATTTATATTGAAGAACCTAAAAAATAGATAAGAATTAAAACTACAGTACTACAGTGCTCTCTAGATCTTCTTTTATGTATTCATTCTTAAATCATGCCATAGGTCTGACTATAAGCTAAGACTACAAAATAATTAACCCACCTTTGGTCTGTTTTCCACCAATTCACCGGAACTTAGCACCAAAAGTGATTGTGTCCTTAAAAGTTAATATTGCTCAAAAATACTTTTGGAATTCTTCTTTCAGAACTTCTAACACGGCTGAGTTGCTAGTCACATAAAAAAGAAACTCATCTCATTATGTTTACCACAAAGTGTCTTGGTCTGCCACTCACGCTGTCATTGCTCCCTCTTCCCAGTCAGTGAGAAAAAGGTAAAGGAGGAGAAAAGCAAAGTTTTAAGGAAAGTAACCTTTAAATTACCCGGTCTGTCCTACATACCACATCTTCTATCTTTATATCACATATATGCAACACATCAAAATAACTGAAGCACAAATTGATCTGCATCTTGATGTTCGTCAAATAAAAGCCAAAGCAAAGATGTTTAATAAGTGTATGATCCCTTTTCATATTTAAAATAATTTTTCATAGTTTAATATGTGGTTATTTAAAACTTGATCCCTCAAGATGACTCACTTCCCATGCTCTCTGTACAGTCTTATGCTTCTCTGCAGCCTTAGGATCCGTCCAGTACCAAGGCTTGAGAAGAATAAAGCTGATAGTTTAACATGAAAAATATATGGCAAAATAGAGATGATTTTACAAAACTGTGAAATATATTTAAGAAATTTCTTTCATAT